AATGTTATGCAGCAATTTGAGGGTCCAGATATTTATACGAAAAATCAGCATGATTGAATACACCATTCTGGATACGTCTGTTGTCAGGCAGAAGGAAAAAATGGCAAGGTTCGCTGTTTCCGCGAAGGATCCATCAGTCGCTGCCTATGCGTTCGACATCGGAGGGCCCAAGCCGAATCACCAGGCTCTGCCATACATAAGGGGTGTCTCAGAAAAGACTATGTGCATTATTACAGGACTAGTTGTTGGAAATACGCAGTGGCCCAAACCTACCATGCGCAGCAGGGTGATGAAAATCAAAGACCGACTAAACCCCAAGGAGAAATCTGAGGTAGCGTTTCGCATTCCATGCCCAAACTGTCCTTGTAACTACGCATGTCAAACTGAACGCAGGCTCGGATCGCGCGCACACGGGCATAAGTTGGTTGTACGATAGGGTGAAAAAGTATCGTAAGTTGCAGCTCACACCTGATAAAAACGGTCATACATCATGTTTGGCAGCCGCCAGGGTAATCACCCACGCCGAAAACAGGACAAGCCAAAAATCGATTGAAGCCTGGGCCACGGATAGGAATTCAGTTAGTCGATATGTCGATTTGGCGCCGGCGTACAGGGCCCTACGTAGTGACCTCTGGACGTGCGTCACTGTTAGTTCACACTCCCTTTAAGTGTCGCCCTCCTTGTTGCTGCTGCAATCTCTGACGATGAACACCTGCGTGAGACTAGAGCCCAGAATAATAAAACAGCTCTTCCTGCGCTCAACCAGTCTGTTCCTTCTTCTCCTTTGCTCAGATTCAATGAGTGTTTAACTCGGATTAGGCTTGTTACTTACGAGAATTTTGATTCAGTTGCCTAGGATGGCTAAGTTTGTGGCTTATTCTGGAAATCACAATCGGGTCTTTTTCCCTACTCCTACATTCTACCGGCACGCCTGGATGTCCCTGGCGTGTTCACTCATAAGCATAAGCTCAGTAAATTTCCCTAACGATCTAGAAGCTGTATTTTCTGCTAAGCAGTTTGCATGAAATTGTCTGCTCGTAGTTCCGTCAAATCCTCATGGGACACCTCATTGGGACATTTCGGAAAGCATTTGCACTGATTAGTCTCTGCAGCGTCGAGATGTTAAAAAGCCAAATAGATCAATTCTGGCAAGTTTTCCAGATTTTGGACACGAACAAAATATTTTCATTGCGCTGAGGAACAATCAGCCCTAATACTGTTGCTCCAATCAAAAACTTCAAGCAATCCCTCAGTCAATTGGATATTAAGGAGAAAACTATAAAGAAGTGTTCAGTTTTCCTTACTCTATTCAGCAAATTACCTGACACAGGAGTGTTCATACAAGTAAATTCAGATCGTGCTCCTAGCTAGATTTTTCTGACATTTTTGTTCATTTGACGGCGTTGAACTTGATGTTCAATTGGCAAAGGTATAGTTTTCAAGCTGTCCTTTTAAGGAGGACCTCTTTTTTATGTTTTTTGCAAGGGCCTTTTCTGTATCATTACGTGTGACTGGGGAAAGACCGGGCACAATGTAATTTTTCTTCTCCGACAGAGAGCTTCAGATGCAGAATGATCTGCCTGCGTATATCCTCCTTTTCCCATCTGTGGACATTTCTAAGAATAAGCTTGTCCAGTACAGTCAGCACAGTATGGTACCACGCCATCAGGAACTAACACGCGTCTCCCATTGTTCCACCCTAAATTAAATTTTATAAAACCTTACTACTTTCTACCTTTCGGTAGTATTATTTTCTAATAGTTTCGTCAAATGCCTTGAATGTATCGGCGTTTTTTATTTACCATGGTATTTTTATTAAGATGAAGCTCGAAGGCTTATCTGGACTGAACGCAGTTGGGAATAAAGGGGCCACCATCCCCTTCGACGAACCGTGCATTTCGCTTAACTTTATATTTTACTTTCCAGTTCCTCCTATAGTTTAAACCTCGAAGTAATTCTCATTGGCAGGGACAAATTTACGTTTCTCTCAAGTGGTAAGAGACACCTTTCAGTGCAATTTAAAAAGGAAGGCTTAGGGTCTGAATCGACTCTGTCCTAGAGCATAAGGTAGAAGCCGCCCACTGAGATTACGTAAACGAAATGGGACTAATTTTTCACTTGTACAATGTGTGCACTTAGCAAAAAATATAGAACCGTGATTCGCGTATCCTCATCTAACTTTGAGCCGAACCCGATAATGTTCACGGCAAAAAATCCCTCTAAGTGAGAACGTTAATTTTTAATGAAACCAAACAACTTACCAGTAGTACGTCTGAATGTTTCGGTTACGCCACGCAGCAGCACAGAAAGACCAAGAAACGCATGTCCAAGTTTTTCCCTAGTACTTCTGTTTGGAAGATGCTAAATCCATCAGTTTTTTATAATATTGACTGTCTGTGGCAAAAGCCGAGCATAACGCCGTAATTTCGCTGAAGCCTTTGGATTTCAATTGAAATAT